GATAATAAATGAATGAATGAATGGATGAATGAGCGAATGAATGAGCGAATGAAAGAACGAACGAACAAATGTACTAACTTTGGTGTGTAGCTAAAATGAAGTCAGGAAAATTGTCTCCTTTTATATATACAACATGTAGACCAAACATGTTTGTATATATCGACACGTAAGTGCGAACATATGAAAACATACAAACATACCTATAAAAAAATAAAAGAAAGAGAGAGAGAGACAAAACATTTGATTACGAAGCATCATTTAAAAGCAAAAAGAATCTTTAGAAAAATAGTCAAATGTTTGTATCAACGTATGTATGTGTGTAACGTATCTTAATGTATATTAAATGTATCTAGGTATGCTTGTTTGTTTGTATTTATGTATGTATGTATGTATGTGTGTATGTGTGTTTGTATGTATGTATGCATGTTTGTATGTAATTTTTAAATTTACTTTAATAATTTAACACATTAACTGCACACGCACACACTCGCGCGCATAATTCCAAACAAACAAATAAACAAACATGCCTCCGCCCATTAAAACAGATAAAACAACTATACATACATATATACATACATACATGCATACATGCATGCATGCATACATAATACATGCATACATACATACATGCATGCATACATACATACATATATACATACATACATACATACATACATACATACATACATACATACATACATACATACATACATACATACATACATACATACATACATACATACATACATATATACATCATAAACTTAAGTTCAAAACGACGATTTCTGATTGGTCGAATTGATATGCCAATAACATACCTTAGCCCGGCCCACATTAATTGCATATGTATATATGTGTTTTGTTTGGTTGTATGTATGTATGTATGTATGTATGTATGTATGTATGTATGTATGTATGTATGTATGTATGTATGTATGTATGTATGTATGTATGTATGTATATATATATATATGTATGTAACAGCATATGCACATTTACATATATAGCATCTGGCCACACACACAACGTATCAATTCGAAGTCCGAAGATGGTATAGGAATACCGTAAAAAGCTTTTCTCTGTCCTACCATGCTTAAAAAAAATAAAAATTTTGGTTTTGGACTCAAGAAACTTGACAATGATTTACGATCTACCGTTAGAAAAATTAAACAAAAAGTTAACACGCTGTGATTTTCATCAATAATTGGTTATATATTCACACACACACAATATATATGTGTGTGTGTGTGTGTATGTGTGTGTGTTGATTGTTGATTGCTTGGATGATTATGATTTATGGATCTTATGATTCTTTTCATGATTTTTTCATACCCCTTTAAAGCGGTTGACCTGTGACTCTGACAGCATATTACTCTGTCAATTTTGTTGTTATTGTTATAGTTGAATTGTTGTCGGTGGTGTAGTTGTTGGGGATTGTTCTGGATCAAGGAGTTTTTATACCCATTATTAATGAGAAGTTTAGTGACTCTATCTAGTTTCTTTCTCCTGTCCCATACATCAGAAGCATGGATATCAATATAATATACCACAGGATCATAGGAAGTCTATGATCGGAAGAGAAGTACTCTCTAGATAAGTTTGACAACATTCACTAACCCCACTAAGATATAAACCTTTGTTTGTTGCTTTGGAGTAGACTGAGGTTTTAAATTCGTTGTGACTGCTTCGTAGTAGTAGTAGTAGTAGTAGTAGTAGTAGTAGTAGTAGTAGTAGTAGTACGTCTAAGAATGGTAGTTTGCTGTCAGTTGTGTTTTTTCAATACAGAATGACGAAATGAACAAAGCAAGGACCCGACGTAAAAACCTAGACCACATAAACGCAGGCCACTTTCAAGTAGTAGTAGTAGTTTACTAGTAGTAGTTGTAGTAGTGGTTGTTGTAGTTGTATTATTATTATTATGTATTATTGTTGATTATGTATTATTGTAACACGAGAGTTGGCAGGTTTTTGCTAGATCACTGTTTCATTTACATTAATCGAGTTTTACATAGTTTTACAATGTAAAAATAGGTTTAAAAGTAGCGGAAAATTATGGCGAATAAATTAATACTAAATAACTCTTATTTTAAATATTGGACTGATAATTTTCGATATAGCTTAATTAATAGTGTAATATCGTCCTCTTATGCTTAGTACTGTGATAGAAACAATGTGTGAACAAACTGTTTCCAATTTTTATACAAGCTTTCATCATGGCTATTCAAATTATTTCATCATTTTAATTATATTTAACTAATTTTAACATTTTATTGACATATTTTATTTTGATTATTTGTGATTTTACTGGTTTTCTCTGAATAATAAAAGAGTTTACATTATTATTATTATTATTATTATTATTGTTATTATTATTATTATTATTAGTAGTAGTAGTAGTAGTAGTAGTAGTAGTAGTATCATTTTACTAATTCCGTCTCGTTTCATTATTAACATTTCATTCATTTTCACTGTTTGCATGTATGTATGTATGTATGTATGTATGTATGTATGTATGTATGTATGTATGTATGTATGTATGTATGTATGTATGTATGTATGTTTGTTTGTTTGTATGCATGTGTGTGTATGTGTGTATGTATGTCTGTTTGTATGCATGTGTGTGTATGTATGTTTGTATGTATAGTCTGGGGAAATTTGAAAGCATTGCTAGGATTAACATTGATTAGAGTCTTATACTAAAAACAGGTGGTATTTTATTGACGATGATGAGGATGATGAAGATGATCAAGATGATGATGATGACGATGATGATAGCTAGCACTTGTAACATTTTTCATTTCCATGATGTGGTTTATCGGTATGGAAATCATCATTCTTATCATCGCAATCTTCTTCTTCCTCTTCTTCTTCTTATTATTATTATTAGTAGTAGTTAGTAGTAGTAGTTAGTAGTAGTTGTGGTAGTAGTAGAAAAATTAACTTCATAGTCATAACAAAATTTAAAATTTTGATTCAGAAACCAAACACAAAAACATTCTTGCCGCCATTTTCTATCATTCTCTCTGCCAACCATCTTCTATTTCCGATCACGTGTTTCCATTTCATCCAATCAGCCATAAAGTTTATACAGTGTCTTTGGCTCCTTGACCCAATTAGGTGTCGACTGCAGTTGACCTAGATACATAAATTTTTTGAACTTCTGTTGTTTAGACATGTGGTAAAAACTTTTTTTTTGTGTTTTTCGTTAAAGTTATTTCTTTTTACTCTTTCATCGATCATAATAATCATCATCAGTATCGTAATTTTTTGTTCATTCC